GCGTCATTGGTTCATTGAAAAGACTTCCACATTCTGCTAAATTAATATAATAAGTAACATTTTGCCTTAATAGGGCCTTAGCTATAACTTTCATGAACACAGAATTCCGCTTGTATTTTTCACTGCAAAATCCAACGTTCTAACAATTAAGGAACGCTTTGCCTTAATAGGGCCATGCCTGCAGAATTCCGCTTATACTTTTCACTGCAAAAATGTTCCCAGCTATAATTTCTCATTGAAAAGAAATCCTACGTTCTAACACTGATTAAGTAACGTTTGCCTTATTAGTAGGGCCTTATACTGACTGCCATGCATAGACATCTTATATATAGACTTGAGATAGCGCATCTCTTTTATAGTAAAATTGAAGCCAAGAATTAAAATTCCAGCGGTTATCCCCATTTGAATAGATGGCGGCCATGTTGGTAGTTCCCATCTCGCTAATAAACGCTTAAAAAACAACAATAACTTTCAGCATTTGAATAGTTTAAAAATGTATTTGGAATGGGCGGTTAACTTAATGTTTAAGTTCCCTGTTTAAGAAATAGAAAACATGCGAGTCTTCTCATTTCATGAGAATATCCTATAGTCTGCAATCGTGCACTACGGTGGACCACAACTGTCACGGCGAAAGTAAATAGCCACGGCAAAATAAAATTAACTCACGGCAAAATTATAATGTTAACTCACGGCAAAATAAAGTTAACTCGTGGCAAAATAAAATTAACGAAATAGAATTAAGAGGCCTAAAACAGAATGGCCGGCACCGCGCTCGATTGTCTCGTTTCGCTTGTGAGTTATTTCTTCACCACTGAATTATAAACTATTAATCTTCTCTGACTTTCCTTCCTAGTTCTTAATTATTTGTTTACTCTTTTAAGCTGATTTGTTCAGGTAGGTACATGACTTTTTTTATAGCTTATATATACTTATATAGTCAGAGAACTAGATTAATAGCTTATATTGCTGAAGAAATTACTAGTCACAAGCCATTTTGTTTTTGGCTTCTTCTTTTGCCGTGAGTTAATTTAATTTTGCCGTGAGTTAATTCTATTTTGCCGTGAGTTAACTTTATTTTGCCGTGGCTATTTACTTTCGCCGTGACACTTGTGGGCCACAGTAATGCACGGCTTCAATTTTTGAATTGCAAAATAATTAGATGCACTATCTAGTGTATATAAGATATCTATGCTGACTGCACGCACTTGTTGTGTACGGTTTGTGAGGTAAGAAATATATTCAGGCACGAATTATAATGGTACAGCAAGCAATACGTGGTACATCAAGCACTTGCTTCCCCCCTGCAGTTAGGACGCATGTGAGGGCTCTTAGATTCGAACTGTTTTGGACTCCTACAGTTATAATATAAATAGATTTACGAGGAACTTTTTCAGTGCTATAAATGCTCCAATGCTCTTTTTGCCTTTTGCTAAAATGTTTAAATTATGTCAATTCCCCACTCCCTTCCCCCCAACCTTTCAATGCAAAAATACATATCCGCTGCAGCGGGTTTCAGCAATCTTCCAGCAAACTATCATAACTTCCTGCAACAGTGGCATCCAGCTACAGGAAATATTAAAATTGGGAATTGTAATTAAATTAACATCCCACGCCGATACGTTCAGTAACTCTTTCATTAGTTAGTATGTTCCTTTTCCGAAAGGGAGTTTTGTGCATGCATATGCATTAAGAAGCAACTTTTTTTCAATCGCTCGTGTCCGCGATGAAAATTTTTAAAAAGTAAAATATTTTGGCGTTTCTCTCAAAATTACTTTGATTTTTGCTTCACTTTGCAGTTCACATAGTATAATTAGCACTGAACCTTCTAAATGTGCCTGGCGGTCGAGAAACACAAAATAATAGAACTCATTTATTATCAGATTGATGCTGTAAAATTGACGCCAAATACAGCAATATAAAAAACAACTTTATTTTCTCTATAGTGTAGCATACCATCTAAAATTTCTTCATTTTAGCATATTGTTAAAGATAAAGCACTAAATATACTTTTAAAGTTTGTTTGCAGCTTGAGAAACGTATAAAAAATATTTATACCAGACTTGCTATTCATATACAGTAACTGAAACTTACTGAAATTCAGAAATCATTTCCTCTTTGGCGTAACATCTCAGTAAAATCTCTTCATTTTAGCATAATTTTACAGATAAAGCACTAAACATACTTTTTGAATATCTAGTTTATTATTACTATGAAACTAATTTTTTTTATCACAAACATCGTCGCGAACTGAATATTTCGTGCACTTAAATTTGAATCAGAGATCGCTATTAAATTGAAATAGAATTAACGTGGCTATTTAAATACTGAAAACAACCCAACATGCAGCCAATATAAATGCAAACGAGTTGGTTTTTGACAGCTGTCATGGCTGGAAACTGTTGTTGTTGGTGGTTATAACTTATAGGATCAGCTTCATTTGTGGAGGTAGTCACTTGAATTCTTCCTCAGAACAGAGGAATTAAATGCCATTACGGCAGAGAAGCTGAAATGCCACTTCAGAGAAGCTAGATTTCGAAATTTAGTTTAGTAGCTAAATGTCTGATGTACACAGGCTAATAGATACAGACATATAGCTAACGACTCGGCAAAACTATACCTCCTCCCCCCCCCCCCCCCCCCCCCACCCACATACACATGGAAGGAGGCCTAGCACCCATAGTTCGTATTTATCAGTCAGTTGAATATTTTACAAATTTCGCAGTTCCACATGAGCTAGTTAATTTTGTGAGTCTCATAACAAGTATACCATAACAAGTAAGGACAATGGCGCCAAATAAACTTGTTGAAATAAATTGTATTGAAAATTGTGAATTCGGTTACCGTTTAATTAGCACTGGGCAGTTTATCACAAAGTCCTTTTTAAAAGACAAAGATTCGTCTTTACTTGCCCCGTAAAAGAAGAAACTCTGAAACGGATTCGTGGGAAGGGCTAATTAGTCAATTTTGGCCAAATGAGGGTGAGATGACGTCATAGCTTGGCATTGCTCGCCGAGTTCCGCGTACGTAGAGTCTATGACGTCGTAGGCTAATGCAGGCGTGTAGTCGCAGTGTAGTTATATTTTATCACAAGTTGAAGTGTTTTTTGTAGACGGAATTAGAATTTTAGACCCAGGATCAGCTTCGAAAAATGCAACTATATAGGCTCTCTGGCAGGATTCGAACCTGGGACCAATCGACAACCGCTGACTCGACGACTGAGATTCTGTATACTTGCAAGTGATGAACCAGGCGGGAATCGTAATCGTATAATAATATCAAGATTAACGCCTAGCAGTAACGTACGCAATAGAGCCATGTAGACAAGAATATATAGACATAAAATTTATTTAAGAAGTACTAACGTTTCGTCTTTAACTTAAGACATCTTCCGGAGTAAATGAATATAGTATAGGACAATGAGTTACAAATATGAATAAATTTGATATTGTATAATTTACTCTGAAGATGTCTTAAGTCAAAGGCGAAACGTTAGTACTTCTTAAATAAATTTTATGTCTATATAAGCCCCGTTTACACTACGCTCAATTTTTGGTACCCGTACCACTTTTTTGGTTCTTGGACTACCTGTTTAGGTAGTGGTACGGTACCAAAGTGGTACGGTACCAAAAATCGAGCGTAGTGTAAACAGGGCTTATATTCTTGTGAAATCTTGTCTATATGGCTCTTTTGCGTACGTTATGCTGGGCGTTAATCTTCATATTACGATTGAGATTCTGTAGTTCATGTTTGACAACTGAGATTCTGTACAGTAGTTCAACATAGATTAGCTACCCGAGATTTAAAACATGTCAACATTTAGCTTGCGTCGCACAGGCATTCAACTGGGAATCTCGTCTCCAGACTCCTCTTGTTTTTCCCAAATCACTAATGAACATACTTTTCCACTTGGTTCTGAGTTCAATTTTTTTAATTTTTGATAAGTTTCTCAAGCAGCAAACAAACTTAAGAAGTATATGTTTACGGTTTTATCTGTAAAATTATGCTAAAATAAAGAGATTTTAGATGGTATGCCAAAGAGAGAATGATGTCTGAAGTTCAGTGAGGTTTTCTTAGGGGCGGACCATTAGAAATCCCAGGAGGGGGGGGGGGGGTATAAAATTTTTGCGGCACGAATTTTTTTTTCAGTCTCGTGTCTCTGCAGGATTTTTTTTTAATTAATGCATTTAACCTCTGCACGAATTTTTTCTCAAGAATATTTGTACTTCGCTGTTTGCTTGCACGAATTTGTTTTCTCTGACGTAATGGCTGCACGAATTTTTTTCCAGGCATTTTTCTTTGCACGATTTTTTTGGGGGGAATTTTCACCCTCCCCCCTCCCGGGGTTTCTAATGGTCCGCTCCTTATTGGTATAAATAAAGCATAATTCTTTATCAGCGATGATACATACTGATTATCGTTAAAGTAGTAATGACAATGACGACATATTAGCAGTTCACCACTGAAATTACTGTTATAGTTTTACATGTATTCTGGCACGGTACAATTAAGTCCGACGTCCAAATCAGTTGCCGAACTTGTGTCGTATTTGATTTGATTCGGCGCATGAAAGGTTGGCCGTCTAAACGTAAAATAAATGACTAAACCGGGTCTTATTCGGCTGACCTGATTTGCGAGATTGTTTTGTTTTGCGGAAATAGCGCGTTTATTTCAGTCTCAAGAAGTGCAAACTAAATATTTTTTCGTTTATTTGCTCATTAACCGTGTCTGGTGAAAACTAGTTCTTGCTGACGACGTAAGCGTCGATAAATAAAATGATCTATTATACGAGTTGGACTATGGTCGAGTCTATGCACCGCGTCAACCGTGTTCAAGCTCATGCCGCATTGTAATATGAGCCATGTTTAACACCAAATTCTCAGCGGGATTTAATAACACTTCACATACTATCAATAACCCTTTCTTCTCACGCGTTCGCCTTGCAAAAGACTTGATCATTGTCCTCGCTTGTACTCTTTGCGCAATCAACGCGACTTTTACTCATGACAAAGACACCCAAGGCACCGGTAAAGAAGGCAAAAAATACTACAAGTATGGGGCGTGTTATATTCTACTTTATCGCGTTGATAGTCGCGTGTTGTGCGGTCGCGGTTGTGCTATTCGAGACAGAAGCTGGTCAAGAGTTAGTCGCCAAAGTTCGAGGTAGAAAATCGTCGAGTTCTCGAGCGAACGCACACGCAAAAGCGAAATACACCGAGAGAAAACCTTCAGAGAGTAAAATAAACCGTGGCGATGATGAGTCGAAGACAGCAGAGCAAACAGAGAGCGCATTGCCAAACGCCGACAGTGTTTTGAACAAAGATAGAGACACGTCAGCAAAAGCGAGCGACAATTCAAACGAAGCCAAGAGTAGCGAATCGAGGAATGATGATACCACAGCAAATAACGATGCCCAGCAAGAGAATACGGCTAGAGAATCTGTGCGTGAAACCGCCAGCGAAATCGGCGGAGATTATGCAAATGTAGGAGACTCACAAATGGACGAGACGACGTCAAATATGGACAGCGGTGAATTCAATGAGGAGAAGGAAGAGTGGGAGAAAATTGACGAACAAATAGACGGAGATGAACAAGTTGAGAAACCGGTTGAGGAAATGGATATACCCGTTGTGGAAATGGAAAAACCTGATGTGCAACAGGAGAAACCGGATGAAAGACAGACTAAGGAACAAGAAAAGCCAGATGAGGAACCTGTTTTTGTGGAACCTGAAATAGAACGAGCGGAACAAGGAGAAGAATTTTTGGAAGGAGAAGTGGATAACAATGAAGAGCAAGATGGGAAAGTGGATGAAACTGAGCAAAACGTAGCTGACAAAGTAAATGAAAGTGAAAAGAAACAACAGGAAGAAGTGAATGAAGAGATGGATGAAGTTGATGACAGTGAAATGGGAAAAGAGGAAACCATAAGTGTTGGCGATAGTTTGGCAGACCTGGAAAAGGAGAGAACCACAGAGAATAAGCAAGTGAAAGAAGAAAAGAAATTAAAGGAAGAGAAGGAATTGCTGGAGGGAGAACGCTATGATCCAATTCCTCAACCCGAGGGACCACCCATTGATCAGAGTCCTGTGAATGCTCGACGTGGTTTGAGAGGAGATTATGGCGGCAAAGGTAGGATGGAATTTGATAGTAGTTGTGTGACAAGTTTAACTACTTTTTTTGGGAAGACATTTCTGGAATCATAACCTGGGTCAATAAATCTGGAACAACAAAAACGCACAAGTTCTTACAGGTCTGCAAACAAGTTGTTGCAAATCTGTTCACAAGCTGTGTTCTCACTGCTTGTTCCCAGTTGTAATAAGTTTGGAACAAGTTGTTAACAAATTATAACAAGCTTGATGGCATTATCAGACTTGTTACAAGGTTCTTCTAACAAGTCTGATACAGTCATGATATAACAAGAATGTTACAAGTTGACCACACATAAGGTTGTAACAATATTGTTATATCATGATTGTATTGGACTTGTTGAACAACCTTGCAACAAGTCTGATGACATCAACAAGGTTGTTACAACTTGTTAACAGCTTGTTCCAAACTTGTTGAGAACTTGGGACAAGCAGTGCGAACACATGCATTTTTCTCTATTATTTGAAATGTACTCTACTTAGTATTTTGATTCTATCAATACAGTTCAAAATTTTAGGACATTGTTTTGAAAGAAAGGGCGATATAGAACATTTCGACCACTTGATCGTGAGTGGATGACAGTATTGTAATGTTAATATTTATTGTGCTCCTACCACACGCAAAAATCTCACATCTTGTAGCAAGTCTGTCAACAAGTTTGGTTTCTTATTTTGTTGTTATATAAATACTGAGAAAAAGTCCAGGATCTAGACAAGAATTGGCGACCAAAAATCTGGGGAATAACGCCCTAAGACACGGACTTATTTTTGTTTTTAATTTAGACTGTAAAGATACAAACAAGAGCTGTGGAGGCTGGGCATCGGTTGGAGAATGCAAGAAAAATCCTGTCTGGATGCATGTTAATTGCAAGAAAAGCTGTGACGTTTGCAGTAAGTTGTATAATCTGACTCGTTGTAACTTGTAAGGTTTACTTTACAAGACTTTACAACAAAGAAGTGAATGTCCTCAGTTTTAAATTATCCTAAAATTCCAAACGAACCCTCCCAACCTCCCTCATACGTTTGTCAGGTTATTCATTGTTCTTCGGACAACTGTCGGAGTCCGAAATTGTCTGAAGAACAATTAATAACCCATGATTAGCTCAGTTTACTAGTTTTATCATTCATCCTTACAAAAAAAGTTCTATGAAAATGAAACTTAATGGGGAGAATCACCTCTCTTTTTTCTGGAGGACAGGAATATTTAATAAACAATTATTGGATGAGTCTGAGCTGGGCGTACAGGAGCGGAAAAATTAGGGGGCAGAACAAAATTTGCCCGACTTTTGCATTCTGCCCGACCAATTAAATCCCCTGCTAAACTTGAGAAACTTTCGAAAAGCTAAAAATGTTTCGCCACATTGCCCCATTTTTTTTGCATTTTTTACTATTATCTTACATATTTCTTTTTTTCAGTCAGTTTATTTCCCCCACTTTTTCCCAACTTACTTTCAACATTTGCCTGACTTATAGGCATTTCAATTTTTGGGGGGGGGGGGGGGACAGCTGGGAGGCATATCAAGAATTATTCAGGTCGAGGTCATTGTTGACCATTGTTATCTGTGGAAGCGAAGCTGTTTTATGACACATCCTGTCAAAAAAGCCAAGACTACCGGACAGCTTAGGGACCGGTCATAAAGTAACTGCTAGGGTGGGCTGGAGTGATTTGGGATGGGCCATGGAAAATCTTTAGGCAGTTTCGATGGGCCGCCAATTTTTTTGTATGTCCACGTTTGGGCCACCAAACAAAAACCCAACATGGGCAGATATTAAATTAATAATAGAAGTAAACAAAACTATCCAAATTATTAAATGCAAATGATGTTATTGAAGCCAGTACTTTGTTTTATACAACAACAAGAAGTGGTCGAATCACAATAAATACAACCAAATGGAGAACAGCTCAGTATCGTAATTGGTGATGAATTTGTTGGTCAACTTGGTGCAATTATGTTGGTCAACTTGGTTTATTATAAAAGTGTATTTTCCCAATTTAGATTGGGTGGGTGGGTGGGTCATGAAATAAATTTGGTAAGTCTAGATGGGCTTTGAAATTTTTATCTACATCCTAAGATGGGTCACCAAACTTATTGGAAAAATTTGTGATTTACCTCCAGCCCACCCTAGCAGTTACTTTATGACCAGTCCCTTAGATCACATCACCCTGATGTTTTTCTTTTGTTTGTCCCAGGCTGTAGTGACAATGACGTAAAATGCGCAGAATGGGCTAAAACAGGAGAATGTAAAAAGAATGCACAATGGATGAACCAAAATTGCATGAAAAGTTGTGAACAATGCTAGACACGGTAGAGTGGCCACAATATTGTAGGACAAACGATTTCTTGAATACCTCGACACAATCTCGCTGTGGCTTAGCTATTTAAATACTGTAGGTGAAATTGCAACATTAACACACAAGGACATCACAAATTGGGAGGTTTTCAGCCCTGGTTCACACGAACGAGATAAGCATAAGTAGGAATGCAAAAGAAAATTTTACCTTTGCGACTTGCAACGACAGAGCGGACAGAATTTTCTTGTGAACTTCCTGTGAGATTTGTGTTTTAAAGGTGATCTACAGACCGTATGTAAACAAAGCCTTTGTTTACATTTTTGTGTCCAAAATATTGAGCTTTATTCGACAACTATTTATATTTTCAAGCTTCTAGAGTATAATAAATGATCAAGAAACAACAAATAAGCTTTTCAAGAAATCAAAACATAGTTAAACTGTTTGTATCATAAAAAGTGGGCTCATTTGTGCACATGCGCAGATCAGACTGTAGATCACCTTTCAGTTTGCGCTTATGTCGAAGTTAACGTCGCATACTTCGTTTTGCTTTTTGTCTTTTCTTATGCTTGTGCTTATCTCACTCATGTGAATCGGGCTTAAGGGGGTTATATAAATTTACCGCCGGACCATAAAAGCATAGGTATGTTGTGAATCAAACAAATTTGCTTGAAATTTAAGGCAATAGACCTTTCCCCTTATTACCAAAATTTTGATCTAGGCAAGTCTAGACAAATATTTCATCACAGCTTGAAAGAGCATCACAAAAGTAGTAATATTCCAAAGTTTCGTTGCGAAATGTTGTAAAATGAGGAAAATAGAGCCTTGCGAAGTTTGCAATTTTCAGTCATTTTACATTTACAAACGGGAAATTGCAACCCCAATACCCGAATCGGATGTCAATTTCCCGTTTGTAATACAAAATGACTGAAAAACGGCAAACTTCGCAAGGCTATATTATCCGCATTTTACAAGATTTTGCAACAAAACTTTGGAATATTACTAATTTTGTGATGCTCTTTCAAGCTGTGATGGAATTTTTGTCTAGATCGAAATTTTAGTTATAAGGGGAAAGGTCCATTGTAGCCTGCGAACAGGCTCTCAAGCTGAATTGAGCTCAGCTTGAGAGCCTGTTCGCAGGCTATTTTGCAGGCAGGGTGTCCGCCAGGGGGGTAATCCTACTGAATTCGTAACTGAGTGGGCTTTACTAAGGCACTATTACAGTATACAGCCACTTCAAAAAAGGTTGTCTTTTGCAAACCTTAAAGACCATGTCAAGTCCGTTCTCCCACAGATATAAACATTGCCCAAATTTTGCATCTTTCGAACTTTTTTGAATTGAAATGTACACTAGTTTATATTCATTTACAATAGCGAACCAGAAAAGTGTTAGATATTCAGTTAGTATGTCTTATTTTACAAATATAGCAGTTCAAAATGTAAACAAAGGCTTTGTTTACATTACCGACTTGGCATGATCTTTAAACTCTAAGCTTAAACTCTAAGCGCGCAAAGTTTAATGGAAGCACAAGTTTCAAGCTTAGCAGTTGAATATTGCAGCTATTGTGAATGAATTGTTCGAGCGTAAGAAAATATTTACCATGTGCGCTTTCCATTTAATGGCCTGACCAGTCAGACCCAACTTCTTTTCTCTGTGTCAATGGAAAGATCTGGTCTATGTTTCTCAAATATCTAGCGAAAATGGACCTCGTTCTAATGTTATCTAAAATTTCTGGTCAGATAGATCCGAAGCCCAAATTTTCTGTGCTTCATTCAACAATTTGATCGTTTTGACCGGTTTGGCCGTGTTAATGGAAAGCGCCCATGTCTCTAAGAAATGGGCCCCATATATGATTTCTGAACTGACTAAATGATGCTCCCCCATTATGCTTTGCACGCTTAGAGTTTAAGGTTTGCAAAGGACAACCTTTTTTGAATTATTAGCTGTAGATAGGGATGGGCGATACCAGCTTTTTCATTCGATACGATATTTGCTCGATATTTGCAGTTTTTTTTCGATTTCGATATCGATACCGATATCGATATTTTCCCAACTTGAAATCATTAACAACGGCCACAACGCTAACAATATAAACATTGAATAATATATGTCAGTGATTGCAACCAACATAACCAGAAACTCCCATCCTTCCCGTGGACCATTATAGCACCATAGAAAATGGACTATTTACGCCTATTTAGGCTTTTTAGTATCATTTTCATGATGATGCCGCTGACCAAAATGAAAAATATCGCGGGCGCAGAAATATCGAAACATCGATATTTCTTGCCAGTATCGATACTTTTCTTCAAAACCCTGGTATCGATAGTATCGAGTATTTGGTATCGATATCGGCCCATCCCTAGCTGTATACTATCTCATTAAGGTCAATTAGCTTTTCTCACGAAGGCCAAAATCCGTCATTTTGAGGGCATTGTCGGCCCTCGTGAAAGATTCTAGACAATTCAAACAACGTTTAAAAGTTGTAACTGTATAAATTTTTTGGCAGTTATCAGAGCGAGGAATACTGTCGTAATCCTGTACTGGTCTGGTGGCGAATAAATATAATTTAGGGATGTAGTTTAATTTGATCGTTTCAATTTCTCAAACGTTTTGGTAACGACTGGAAAAAATCCTCCATGATTTGTGATGTCCCCTTCGACATTGTATGCCATAAATCGCTATTAGCTTCGCGTATTTGCTTGCATTGTGCATGAACTCAAAAACAAATCGGCTGTGCGTGCCTGATGCATCCATAAATTTAGTTCTGCTGTAAAGAACTTGGCGTAGTTTAATAAATGGTCACATTTCACTTGGTATAAATCTATTTGTGGAATAAATTTTGATAATTCTGAATGCACCCTTCTGCAAAGAACGTCACTTTGGCTATAGAACCAAAGTTGAATTCAAGGAAAGATCTCCCAATCGGTTTTTACCCTATACAGGGAGTACAAAAAAAAGGAGACTGTTAAAATCAACCGTTGTTATAATAATTTAATTTTTTTCATTTATTCTTGAAAAAAAAATTTTTTTCAATTTTTTTCCAATTTTAAAAGTTAAAAAAATTTAAAAAGTTAAAAAAATTTTGCTTCAAATTTGGGCGGATCGGCGGATTTGTATACCCCTATTCACCCCCCCTCCCCCCCGAGCACCAACATGGTGGCTATGACGTCATGTGCAAACACTCTGTACACAGTAGAGGTGTGCATCGGATCGGATTGGACGTTTATAATCCGACAATAGACCTTATGTATAATGACGTCATAAGACTTGATGCCCGCGAGGAATGCTGGTCTTAGTAGTCATCGCCCGGGAAAATTCAAAAATTCAAAATGGCCACTATCGAAATTTTCCCGGGCGATGACTACTAAGACCAGCATTCCTCGCCGGCATCAAGCCTTGTGACGTCATTATGCATAAGGTCTATTGCCTAATGATTAAAATCCGATCCGAAATTGTCTAATCCGATCCGAGTTTTGAAAAAGAATTCCAATCCGATCCGAAGAATTCTTTAATAAAATAAATTTCTCATTCAAGTTGAAATATTTATCCAAATAAATATAAAAGCAAGAAATACATGTCAAGAAGCTGACAAAGTGACGTCCAATTGAAGTATCAAACGAATAATGCAGCGACAACCGCGATGATACTTTGATAAATGCATGGATAATTAATTCTTGCGATAATGCGTGGATAATTAATTCATTTTATTTCGGATATCGAAGTCCGATCCGATCCGACTACGAAACAACTTTATCAATCCGATCCGAAATGAATATTTTGGTTCCGAAATCCGAACGAATCGATCGGATCGGATTCGGCCGGATCGGTTTCGGATCGGATTTGCACACCTCTAGTACACAGTGTCCCAAAAAACTATACCCTTTGAAATTTTCCTATTGTAATAATTTGAATGCCTGAGCATTATACTGAACCCACGCAAGTGTAAAATTGAAAAACAAGATCTTAATAAATAAGCCTTTTGAAATCAAGCCTTTGTTTGAATTTGAATGCTTCAGCCTAATTACTACACTAAACTGGTGTCAAGTAACGAAGTAAATGTACTTCGGTACGAAGTAAATGTACTTCGGTACGAAGTAAATGTACTTCGTTACTGTACTTGAGTACTATTTTTGAGAAGTCAGCATGTAACAAAGTAAACTTTTTCTGGAGTACTTTTACTTGGAACGAAGTCGTTTTAAGAAGTAACGTTTTACTTCGTTATTTTCATTTTGTGGCGAAGTATTTCGTTACTTTCTAACTTTTCTTTAATTTTACGTGATTTACTTTGATTGTCAGATAGGTAATACGACCTCTACATGCATCTGGGATCTCTCGTTTGTGACTTACTTATTAGTATTAAATTTATTTAATGGATTTCTTATATCTTCAACGGGGTCTGGAAAATAGACCATGTCGTGAAATATTGCATATTTATAATGCGTGTGCTGTTTTGTGTTTTTTTTTTGTATCTCAGTCCATCAATGGAGAAGTCCCCTCCCTACACGCTACAGACAATAGTATTTTTACTTTTACTTTGTACTTCAAGTATTTTTTAAGGATACTTTGTACTTTTTACTTAAGTACGTTTTGCCTCCAGTACTTTTTACTCTTACTCAAGTCGTTTTATTGTCAATTACTTCTACTTTTGCTCGAGTACAAATTCAAAGTAATTTAGGTACCACTGGTCGCGATCTTTCTCGACGACCAGTTTATAATAGTTCATACCTGTAAACCACATACGAAATCCGATAAACAACGACCTTGTTGAAACAGATTCCGTCATTATTACTATTCATCATTAATATCAACTATTATTCATTCGAAGTGAGTTGCAAACAAAATCTTGGTGTCAGTAATTTTGTGTCAAACAATTTTCGTCAACGTATATATTAATTTATATGGTCTTACTTTACACAACACAGAAAAGTCTCGTTCGCCTTGAATTTATCCTTGCCCTTGGCTCTTTAAATTCATGAATTAAATTCTCACTGCAGGATCAATAATACGGGATTTATTAAGCGAGTTCAATACAGCCCTTATTAATTGCATGGAATTACCATACTGGCAAGCCAATCACAACTAAGCAGCATGCATGCATGCATTTAAATTTCAAATTTACCACAGTGAAGTAATATAAAGTAAGAAGTGACAGGAACACTTCCATTGCGCTACACGCGAGTTAGGTTACAGTTAGGTTAGGTTTCGGCATTACATAAACTTTTTACCGTCAAAACGTGGTTCTGCCTCAAAATAAAATTATGTTTCTACCACGTCATGGAATGCTCTTGGGTATATTCACAGTTGTACTCGCAAGCTTACGTGTCCAAGCAAATCCTCTAACCAGAGAAAAGAGGGGTAAGTAAAATTATAATCCTTCAATGATGCGTTTAATTGAAGGCTACGGGTACTTGCAGCATGGTTAGTTTGTATTAGTAGCTCAGCCAGCAAAGTTTGGCTCATGACGCACAGAACTCCACTATAAATTAATGGTACAGAATGAATTGACGTATTTGATGCGATTTGATAAGGTCATTAAGATTTAAGAAGTCGACAAATATTAAGGTCAGACTTTAATTATACAAAGATTCGGCAAAAGTTTAAATAGAGAATAATACATTGGTGCGCGGAAATACCAGATTTATTTCTCGTGTTGAACATGATATCTCATGATTGAGCGATGCGAACGAGTGAGATATCATGTTCAACACGAGAAATAAATCTAGTATTTCCAAGCATCCATGTATTTTTCTGTTTATTATATAAAGGACAATCTTTGAAAAGCGATAATTTTTACAGAAAAGCGATAATTGAAAAGCGATAATTTTCACATGTGAGATTATCATGAATAATCTCACATGTGAGATTATCACTTTTATCAGTGCTCGAAATCTCTATAAAGCACTATACTTTATATAATAAAATCAAATAAAATATACATGTCGTAAATTTGGTACTTGGTCTTGGAAGAATTCTATGAGATCAACCAGCCCGCTTTTAAAAGATGCCAAAAATGATCTTATTGATGAGCACCATTATGGAAGTCATTAATTGCTATTACTGTAAGATAGTATTATTTAGGACAATCTATTCCTCACTGTAACGAGTACAAAGGAAAATGGCGATAATTTAATGTGCTTGGTTGCATGGGAACGGCTTACCGTCACGGAGTTACATCTTACGCCATGGTCTTCCTCCCACAATTTAAGAAAATTAAACTTTAGGGACCGGTCACAAAGTAACTGCTAGGGGGGGGGGGCTGGAGTGATTTGGGATGGGCCATGGGCCTAAGTTATAAAAGTGTATTTTCCCAATTTAGATTGGGTGGGTCATGAAACTTTTTTTGTAAGATTAGATGGGCTTTGAAATTTTTATCTACATCCTAAGATGGGTCACCAAACTTATTGGCAAAATTTGTGATTTGCCTCCAGCCCACCCTAGCAGTTACTTTATGACCAGTCCCTTACCGCACTTCTAAATAATAGCAAGTTCTTACATTTTCGGCGTTTTGTTGCAAAAGTTGCTCCAGATAATCTTCTCGAACTACGAGATTATCTCGACAACATTTGAGTTCGTTTAATGGGCGTTTGAACATTCGTTTAAACCTAGTGAAATTTTCCAATACACCGAAAACATCCGGATATCGGCTTGGCAACAACATATGTGTTATTTGAAGGAGATATAGCGATGAATCCCAATCAGTTACTATAGATATTGAAAAAGTTGAAACGTATCATCGAAAACGTAATGTCGTGTACAGTTAGTTATAGAGGGACAGTTTTGTCGTTGGCAATTGAGTCACTCATTTGGTCGTGAATTTGAAATGTCTATTTTTCTCTCAGATCAAAAAATGTCCAGTTGGTCATTGTGGTCGGAATGTGATCAGCATTGTTATAAAGAGCGACAAAGGTCTTGCTTGAGTAGAAACAAAGCTGATTGTCCAAATACTAATTACTATGGCATTGAAACGGATAAGGCTAAATGCTCTCCATGTTCAGGTAATATACGGTAGAGGTTCAGATTTGACTTCCATTCATTGAACTATAAGTAAACAGGAACGATAAGTTGGCCGCCATCATTGAAGCCGGTTATGAGTGTTTTCTGCAGTAGTCTTTTTTTACAAAATGGATGTGAAAAATAGAGCTTAAAAATCGTCAATATTTTCTCACTTTTACTTCTTGCAAGGCTTTATAGCTATTTATCTCAGAGCACAGTTAGACAACACATCTTTTATCTAAGGCGCATAAAATAAGCAAATATTGTTTAGCTGCCGAAATATAACACGAACAAAACGAAATTCGGCAACAAAAAAAATGCGCGGAAATTTAAAGTGGGACTGACACTCGAGAAGCGTGTAAAACACGAGGCGTACTCTCGTATTCTCCCAACATTCCCCGATTGCATTGTCACGCCATAAACGCATTGACGAGTCCGATTAACCAATCAGATGCGTTTGATATATCCAATTAACCAATCAGATGCGTTTGATGTACCCGATTAACCAATCAGATGCGTTTGATATACCCGATTAATCAATCAGATGCGTTTGATATATCCGATTAACCAATCAGATGCGTTTGATATATCCGATTAACCAATCAGATGCGTTTGATATACCCGATTAACCAATCAGATGGGTTTGATATATCCGATTAACCAATCAGATGCGTTTGATATACCCGATTAACCAATCAGATGCGTTTGATATATCCGATTAACCAATCAGATGCGTTTGATATATCCGATTAACCAATCAGACGCGTTTGATATATCCGATTAACCAATCAGATGCGTTTGATATACCCGATTAACCAATCAGATGCGTTTGATATATCTGATTAACCAATCAGATGCGTTTGATATACCCGATTAACCAATCAGATGCGTTTGATATACCCGATTAACCAATCAGATGCGTTTGATATATCCGATTAACCAATCAGATGCGTTTGATATATCCGATTAACCAATCAGATGCGTTTGATATATCCGATTAACCAATCAGATGCGTTTGATATACCCAATTAACCAATCAGATGCGTTCTAAGCCAGTGAGAGGTAGTGGTAGTGGAAGTCAAATCTGAACCTCGCTAATATTAGAGCTATGTCGCACAAATTAAAAGGCCCAATTTTGGGACGGTAACTCACATTAAACCGCCTAAACTGCCCTTACATCGCAGCTTAGAATTGGCCGAAGTTGTCTCAAATCGCCAAAACTCGCATTATCTCGTGGCGGGTTTAATTAGGCGAATTACCGTCCCAGAGTACGCCTTACAAATAAAATTTGTTTAGTTTCTCGAGTCCTACTGTACGTAGATTTACACACCATATGAGCTGGTTTCACTTACTTCCATAGTTCCAGTTGATGGTAATTGGGGTATGTGGTCATCATGGGGAGCTTGTTCAAAGACTTGTGACGAAGGAAAGCACACACGAACCAGACAGTGCGATAATCCCAAGCCAAGTAATGGAGGCAAGGCTTGCATTGGAGAAAGTATCGATGTTTCCACTTGCCTTAATAAAAGATGCAAAACCGGTAAGATGATGATGATATTTTATCAATTAATGTCTCCAATCTACTTATGATAATGGGATCTTGGTTTAATTTTGTTGATCCATGAGTGTGATTACAGGAAAAATCCTAAGCTGAACTAACTTTACTTACATGCTATCTAGCTCTGTCAGTTCTAAACTGTTCTTTCTAGAGGTCGAGTAAGATTCATCTCGTATTAATCCAGTGTTATTACAGATGACTACAAGCTTGTTGAGTTCAACAGACTTGTTACAAGTTGTTTCAATTTCAATAACTTGCTATCGTCCTGCAATTCAACAACTTGTTAACAAGTTGTGAGTGACAAGCTTGCTACAAGCCTGTTGCGAACATATCTTGTTGACAAGTGGTGAGATTTTTACGCGTGTAGATCAATGCACTTCAATGAAGACTTGTTGGTCAATCGTTCCCTAGAGTGTAAAGATGCAAACTCCAATTGCTATTCATGGTCAACCACTGGAGAATGTCAGAAGAACCCAAGCTACATGCGTGTCAATTGTAAGGCCAGTTGTGGGCTTTGTGGAGGTATGGAATACGTCTGTTTGGAAACGTAATCAAAATTCAATTAGGATCACTTTATAATATTTATTTTAAAACGTTTGGCACTTGTACTGCTCTATCAGTTTTACGTCTTTCAAAAATAAAGTTTATAGTTAAATAACGAGTGAGCCATACTCAAAATTATATTATAGAGACAACTACCGGGTATAAGCTACTCTGCAATTTGATTTTGCTCTCTACTAGCAGGATATTAGCTAACGCAACCTCATTCTCGTACCCAGAGCCCTTCTTACGCGCGGTGTGACGAGGGGCTCAGGCCAAATCCATATCCGAACTGGCATATGATTGGCTAGTTCTAACACCGGATATTGTTTTCTTACCATGTTTTTATGGTATCCGGTTATGGATTTGGCCAGAGCCCCTCGTCGCACCGCGCGTAAGAAGGACTCTGGGTACGAGAATGACGCAACCTCCAACCGGAAATTTGAAGCCAAACTCAAAGGCCAGTCCTAGTCTTTTCACGCATTCAAAGAGCGCTTAATCAGTCAATCGTAATATAAACACGCGGGTTTGACCCCCACGGTCCGAGGTCAAATTTTGGCTTCAAGAAAAAACTGGAAAGGCAGGCAGTTTATCTGAACGTATAGCGTTCCAGTTATAGTCAATTTAATATATCCTGCCTGTGTATCTTGGCGGTAGAAAAAAAACAAGATGGCGGCTCAAACATTACTGGAGTTTTCTGAACGAGAAAAGTTATTCGCTTTTAATAGCATAATTACGAGGAATAAAAACAGAATAAAAATACTTCCAGCATTTGTTTATACATGTTAGTACATAAAAATAATGCCGAAAGAGCAAAGATAAAACAGAATATTAAACTTTTTGAAAAAAAAAACTGAACTAAAACGAGGTCAGTTTCATTTTTATTTTTTTAGATTGTAAAGACCTTGACGACAAAGCTCATTGTGCAGTTTGGGCAAAACAAGGAGATTGTAGCACTAATCATGGTTATATGATGGCCAAGTGCAAGCAAGCGTGCACAGGATGCCCAAGTAAGTGCTCGCTCGTTTTAAAAAATACCATACAACATGCACTAAAAGTATAAATTAATACCAGCGCGGGAGCCCACCAGGATTTTATTTTGTTTGGCAGGGGGAATGGGGTGGACAATCACTTAATAATTTGTGAGTTACAATTCTAAGGGGGTGACTAAAATTTTATTTGCAAACGTTTCAGTTCCGTGTGTGGACGACAATGCCAAATGTTCATCATGGGCGACAAATGGTGAATGCGAAAGAAATCCTGATTGGATGGGATCTAACTGTAGAAAGAGTTGTAAAAAATGCTGACCTGGTAAAAATTGTTGTCATTCGTTAAGATGCACAGCCGATAAAGTGCATTGATTTTAGTACTTTTGTGGGGTGGAAGCAGTATAGAAATAAAAGAAAATCTTAAACCGCACTCACATATATTGCAAGTTTATAGTTGTTGGAAGTGTCGCAACGATTCAAGCTTTATGTATTAAGCTATTTAATGCTGACTAACTATTTAAATAAGTTTAATTGCTTCTTTAACTTGTGAAGTACACTTTTGTAAGATATTCAAATTTGAACCGCCCGCTAACAAGCCAGGGCCGACTTCGTCAGTGGAGGGAAAAGGTTCGTTAAATCGTAGGTACCGCACGAGTCCCCTATCAATAGCCTGTTGGGAAATCCGCTCACCACTTAGTGAGAAAGTCAATACACTCAGTATTTTACATATAGAAAAGTTTTGTCCTGTTGGTTTTACTATACAGGTAACAGAAGCAAAACCGATCTCTATATATCGCAATATTATAGACGTTTTTAGAGATGCGTGCGTTGGAGGTCAGATTGGAACCCCGTCTCTTACTTTCAAATACTACACAGCTGCAATAATCTTTCCATTTTCCCACATACATCAATGAATCACGACCCGTGTGTTTTCCAAAACAATTATCATAAAAAAAACATAATCTGTATGTAGAAACAAGTGATTAAACATTAAAGTTTAATACGGAGACAAAACGGTTAAACGGTTTCAATATTAATACTGTAATTTTGTGTTCAATTAATTTTCGGCAACGAATATCGTCTTACTAAAAGTTAGGCCTAATAAATGTTCTAATAAAGTTAGGCCTAATAAAAATTCCACTCAAAAACAAATCCCTTTCGAGTTCAATAGACAATACTGCTCTAATTTATTTAAGGTCATATCCTGCACAGACTTTATTTGAACTTTAATTACCATAATGATGATCCAATCGCAACGAAGTCACATGCGTTTAAATTTCAAATTTACCGCTGTGAAGTAATATAAAGCAAGAATTGACATGCAGGAACCCTGCCATTACGCTGCATGAGTGTTAGCCTGCAGTTCAATACAACCACTTCGGCATCATATGAACTTTTGACCGTCGAAACTTGGTTCTACCTCAAAACAAAATGATGTTTCTACCACGTAATGGAATGCTCTTGGGCATATTGACGGTTGTACTGGTAAGCTTACGTGTCCAGGCCAATCCTCTAACCAGAGAAAAGATGGGTAAGTAAAATTATAATCCTTCAATGATGCGTTTAATTGAAGGCTGCGGATGCTGGCATGGTTATTTGTATTAGTGTGTATGTTAAATATAAACAGGTCGGCTAGATCTTGTCTGATAAACGGAAAAATTTGGAGCTATTCCGAGAAAACGCTCTGGGTTTGGTTGTGAGAAATAGTGACATTTTTCAAGTTTTCTTGAATAGGCCGTTGGTTGACGGTATAACTTAGATGAACTTTAGTGCATGTATAAAAGATCAAGTTTATATGATCTCGAACGGTCTTGTCTGTGCCAGTGGCCCATTGTAGGTAGTTCCATTAATACGAACGTTAGCAAAAACTTCGCAAGGGCCCCTTCGGACAACCGACTCCTGTATAAAATATCGATATTGTCTTGGTTATAGTCAGACGCGGTCATGCAACAAGAGTCATGGAATGAGTCAGTGGCAAGTATGACTCATAGCGCACAGAACTGCACACTATAAATGTAATGATATAGGATGTTTGACGTGTTGGATGCGACTATACTTTTACCGTGTTTTAATTGCCAATTCATGCAGACAAATCCATATAGGCGTACAGGCGCTGTGCTTCGGTGATTATAGGACTCGACAAGCTTATTCCTAGAAACTTTGCATGCGTTATTCTGTCTAGTTTGTTAGGTGTTTTTATACGTATATATCGTCTAGTCTTGGTCTTTCCTGACAGACAGATGCATTGTTGCTCTTCATGCAAAAATCAAAACATTTATCGCTTGGGATTATCTCCTTCGCCGTTATGCATTGCCGAGCTTCAACGATATAACACAATAGTATATGCGTTAATCACTGTGCATGAAATATGAGCATGCGCAACAGGCGACTGTTTTTAAATTAATACTAATAGTTATTCCTCGTACTCGTAATCGTAATAATGACCTTAGTTTCTCCAAGTATTTCTCCAAGTATTTCTGCTGGGTCTGTGATTTCTTTTAAAATGTTAATTACAGTAGACGACAAAATTTTGAACTGTGAATTACAGTGTCGAAAATGATAGAGTCGATTTCAAATGTTTAGCGGTAAAAAAGTGCACGGATGACCGATCGTGCGTGCAGTTTCCAAGGAAATTAGACGTCAATATATTATATATACACACAAGCAAAATGCCCACCGCTTTTAAATATAGTTTCAACAAATTCAAGAATAGTTTATAAACAAACATGGAACTTTTTAAACTATCAAGATTTTGCTGGCATTTCACTCGATTAAATAATAATTGAAGAATCTTGCTGATGATCGAGTGGAAATTATCGAGTACATTTATTAGATCTAACCAGGAACAGTTGCGAAAAATGTAACTATAGGTCCCTGTCAGGAATCGAACCTGTAGTCCTGCGATTCTGGTGCAACGCTCTAACCAACTGAGCTACAGAGGTCAGTTGTCGAGCTCTAACCAACTGAGCTACAGAGGCCAGTTGTCGAGCTCTAACCAACTGAGCTACAGAGGCCAGTTGTCGAGCTCTAACCATAAGGTTACTGCCATGTTAGGTATGGGTAGATATCAAGATTTTGTTGGCATATCACTCGATTGAACTATGTCGAAGTGTCGAAAATATATATATAAATGTTATAAATTTCCACACTTCAACATAATTCAATCCGGAGTGAGATGTCAACAATATCTCTTTGTTTAGGGTCAGCCGATGTTATTTTCTTTCATTTGGGTATGTAGTGTCGGTTGCAACCATACTGTGAATATCCTATATAATCTTCCTAGCGGGTAGCCTGCGTTGCAGGCGTTTATTTGCTTACCTAGCAGGCTATAATGGTTTTGCGCATATTGTTTATATTGTTTGAGAACATTATTCTACAGTATGCCAGCAGTCTAGCAATCGATTTGAAATGACAGAAAAGCATACTTTGTCATAGGATTTGATTATACGGACTGCATGTGTTACAGTTCCTCTCGTTGATCGATGATCGACTTGCTGTTTTCATGTTTTGGATATTGGGGACTTAAATATCATGCTGCATGGATGGGGATAAAATTGCAATGGCTTAGGGTCGCTGTCTGTTAGGATCAAGTGACGACTAAATCGTAATATATCAACGAGTGAACGAAGCATATTGTGGTCAGATTATTTTAACCATAGCTATATATCAATTGACTTTCTTTCTTTTATATGTACTCGTGGGGGGAACACAAAAGTGTGAGGGGAAGGACATGCCCCACTGCC